AACAAACCATAAGGATTGTGAAACAATAAAACAAACCTGAAAATAACAAAAGAATGCATGTGTTTCTTTGTTTGGAAAAATTATAAACAAACAAAATTATAAAGTTTTGTATAGAAAATCAAATTTTTTTGAAATTATCATTTTTTATTATTTTTGTTTTTTAAACACATGCTTTTTTCATAATATACAAGGTCTGTTCAAAAAGTATCAAACCTTTTTTTTTCTGCATAAACCAATGATGCGCGAGAGGCCTTCGTCGGTGGAGTTGTGGAGGGGACAGTCATGCACAGCCCTGAATTTTTTCCCGCCTGCAGGAAGCGTCAGTCATTGGCAATCGGCCTATGAGTGACTCCTTTGGTGGAGTTGTGGAGGGGACAGTCATGCACAGCCCTGAATTTTTTCCCGCCTGCAGGAAGTGTCAGTCGTTGGCAATCGGCCTATGAGTGAGGTAGTGTAATGCGCTCTCGTCGAATTCCACTAAGCTGGAAAATGACTCAACAACGTGAACAGCAATATTACATTAAATTTTGCCAAAAACCTTGGCGATACCCAAGCGTAAACCATTCGCAAGATTCAGCAGGCTTTCAGGGACGATCCTCGAGGCCATAAAAAGCACAGCAGCAATATCAAAGGTCATGTTGACAGTTTTTTCAACTCACGACAAACCACCTCACGAGTTTGTCGTGAGTACGCACCACAAGGCCAAACCATCGCAAAGGAGTACTACCAGGAGGTCCTTCGTTGTCTTTCCGATACAGTGCGACGCAAACGACCGGATCTGTGGTCGATCAAAACGTGGCAGCTCCATCACAATAACGCATCCGCCCATTCTGCGCATCTGATTCGGGCTTTCGTCGCCAAACATAACACTCCTGTGGTTCGTCACACTCCGTACTCTCCCCACATGGCTCCATGTGACTTTTGGCTATTTTCCAAGCTGAAAATGCCGCTAAAAGAAACCCGAATTTAGTCGAGAAAAGACATCATGCGGAATCCGACGGACCGGCTGATGGCCATTCCAAAAGATGCGTTCCAGCAGTGTTTCCAGCAATGGCAGGAACGCTGGGAGAAGTTTATACGTTACCAAGGAGACTACTTTGAAGGGGATTAGGGTTTTGTACCTCAAAATCAATAAATTTATTTTTGCCGACCAAAGGTCCGATACTTTTTGAACACACCTCGTACTTTGAAATTACTTTTTGTACTAAAATATGGATCTTATTTAACAGGATTATCATAACCATTAAAGTGTCAGTTAATTTTAGACTTGTGAAATTACACAAACGTTAAAACATAAACATTAACTTTGTGATATAAATAAGAATTGTTTTTCATAAATTACATCAATATGTATAAATCTAATACCAAAATGTAAAGGACAAACTACTTCTTCAAGCTAGCTCAATGACAAAGTTGAATGAATAAAAATAAATTATTTTATCTACTGTCAAAGTGTAGTATAAGATTACAAACAAACAATAAGTGAAAATTTGTAACTAATATTTGATATTAATGAATAAAAACTAAATAATCATAAACTATACAAACATTTGTATACAGGATTTTTTTCCAAAATGGTACAATAAAAATTGAATTTTTAACAAATTTTTAAAAATAATATGTCTAGTGAGCTTGAGTGACTGATATTTTCCTTGAACATTTTCAAGCTAAAAGTACAGTAGAACCAGTTGAGAGAAGGGTTAAGTTCCCTATCAAGTTAGTTTAATGTCATGCAATTTAAAGATAAGATCAATGAGGTTGGTTATTGTATAGGTGTACCCTTTGAGCTGGTTGGCCAGAAGATAATGGATTCTTCTGTAAAGGCAGCCATACACGTTAAGTTAATCCTCAAAGGATTAGCCATGCATGCCTGACCTTGAGTAATTCCTGATAGTGTGTGGGGAAAATTTAACAGTTTTGGTGAACTGTACCAACCACCGAAGTAAAATCGAAAAACCATTTGATTTTCCTGAGCAGTGTCAGACTGCGCAGGCCGACTTTAACGTGTGTGCCATCATTTCGTTCAGTTGTGAGACCGCTGAGTTTAGTTAGAACAATGTCTCGTGAATGTTTGGAAGAATTATTTTCTATAACCTTATTAACTTTTATTATTTATAACCTAAAAAATTAATTTTTCAGATTATAAATTATTTTCAGATCAAAAATTTCTTAAGTAAATTATTAGAAAACTTCTCAATTCATTTCTTCCGTTTTCATAAAACATCTTGATACTCCATATCATTTTCTTTTACATTTTAAAAAATTTATTGTTTTAATATCCAAGTAAATTAAAACATGACAACTTAAAATAATATTTTAACAATAAGACAAAGTTTACTAAATTATAAAATTAATTTGCAATAATAATTTTTACAATTTGTACTAATATCAGATGTGGTTGAGAATTATTAATATATATTCGTCTATAAAGTTTAATCCATGAATTTTTTTGGTAGTAAAATCGACTTGCCATTGATCTTTCGCTGATAACTGATGCTTTTTAACAGAATCTATAGCTCAATATTTCTCTTGAAAAATTAATTTTGTGATCTGAAATAATTTCATTAAAAAATTATTCATATGAAAAATTAATTTTGTGATCAGTGACTACTATTTACACCATAAACTTCTATGCATGCTTTTTTCCCCGCGAGTTTTAATAGAATTTGTTGCCAATAAACATCCAAAAATAGCCAGTATGTCATCATCAGATGCCATGGCCGACTGACTGACTGAGAGACAATGGCGTAGCGAACATAACTGGCATCCAGGGCATGACACTATATTGGCGCTCCCCCTCCAATTTGGATCCTGAAAATCTGGCCTCCCAAATCTTGTTTGTCTTGGAGACCATTTGGCACACCTCTGCGAGTGGCACCTAGGCACGTGCCCTACTTGCCCCACCCTAGCTACACCTCTGCTGAGAGATTTTTTTCTTCATGTGTGGGCGATAGGAAATTCTGAAATTCCTCAAGGTCAGGCAGCCTCAAAAGATTAACTTAACATGTATAGCTGCCTTTAGGAACATCAGGGATATGACAGGGCATAATTGCTGGCCCAGTTTGTGTGTCTTTGCAAATGCATATACCCTCAGGGTATCCAGGGAGCTGACCATCAAGCTTTTGAGACCCAGAATTGTGTCAAGGACAGTATGATTGAATCTACTGATCCTATTTTGGAGTCACACAAAAAAATCATCAACTAGCTAAGATTTGGTATCATCATTATGTTTAAGAAGCAGGAAGACATGCATTGATCTCTTCATAACAACTAATGCCTAATAATAAATACAGGTAACCCCCATATAACACGGCACTTCTATAGCACGGATTCACTCTAACGCGGTTTGAAAATTGGGAACATCCCCCGTATAACACGGTGGTTTTATAGCACGGGTTCACTCTAACACAGTTCGAAAATTGGGTAAAACCCTCGTACAACATGAAATGTAATAAAGAGTGCGTTCTTTTATACTTCCACGTAACTCCGCGCAAGCATTCTAATTGTTTTCCTGGCTACTTTGAATGCTCTTTCAATAATAATCCATTTAATGGTTAAATTTTACAATTACAATTACAATTACAAATGATCAATTTGCTGACGATCACGCCAAAACGCCGACCTCAGTGCCTTCCCTTTTTTACAATACAATTACAAATACAATTGGAACCCTTCTTTTGCTTCTAAAAGCTCATTTTAGAATTATAGATTCCTCCATCATTCCTAAATGCCTACAAACAGCAGCGCACTCCCGTTGCAGAGCGACCGCTATTAACGAATGCACCCAAAAACTGTTACCAGTTGATGATGCTCATGCTGAGATCATCATATAGGATGAATAATCCTCTGGTAAAATATTTACGTAAATAATAAATAAGTATTTTACCTATGTAAAAAATGAATAGTAAATCCGATTTAAATAAGGATTTAACAGCATGTTTTTAATTTTTGGAACCTAACCCCCCTTTTTGCACTAGTTCTTTGCTTCGTATAACACGGATTCGCATAACACTGCAATTTTTTGGAACGTAACTCCCGTGTTATACTGAGGTTACCTGTAATTTTATTTATTTGTATTTCTAGTCTTCTTTGTAAAGCAAGATTATAATTGGTCTGTTTTTAAGTATGTCTGCAATTGCATTTTTAATGCTATTGTACTGTACATAAATACAGTGAATACATCAGAACAGATTAATGTATGTACTGTATGTCTGAAAGTGTTGAGTCTAAATGAATGTGTTTTTGATAGAACTTTATCTGGATTGGTTTATGTTATCTATTGTCTATGAGTGTGTTTGTGATGCAATAGCTATACTTGAGCCAGTAGTGCATTTGTCATTGGTGGCTAAGAGATATTAAAACATTGTAAAATATGAACCTCTGCACAATCCACAAACCTGGATCTTGTTAACATGAACAACATACGAGCTAGTGTTATGCTGAGGATATGACACAAGTATTATTTTTCATTACAGATGTGAGTATGTTTATATTCCTAAAGACAGGTAGTTATAAATCATCTGTCCCTGAAATGAGGAACATATATGTTTCAGCAAGTGCCCACTCTGGGTCAGACTCTGCTTGTAGGTTACTCTTTGCTTCATTTCTTCCTATAGACCTTACTGGGTGGTTTAGGTTGACTACTGAAAGCTTATGCTCTGCTCTATGGTACTGTTCTATGATTCAATGAAATTACCAAACACTTATATAACGAACGAACTGGATAAATATACTACTAATAAAACACACCTTTAATAATCCAGCTAATAAAAATTAATAATGTAAAAACGTTTTTGATCATTTCTTAACGATCATCTTCAGTTAACTTATTATTATTATTATTATTATAGAAGATAATAATAATTATTATTATATGTTGGGTTTAGTAGGTAATATTATTATTAATTATTATTATTATTATTATCTTCTATATATTATCTTCTATATCATTATATCTTAATTATTATTATTATTATTATCATTATTATTAGATAATAATAACAAAACTGAAGCAATATGGTAAAATCAATTTGTCTTTCATATAACAAAAGATATGCTTCCTTATATAGTAAAAATTTGATTAACTATACTGGTCCGGTCATCAATAGGATATTAAAATCCAGTTTTTTTCATTTGTTTATCTAGTTACTGTTTAGAAAACAATGTGAAAAGAACAAACAAACCTTCTATCAACCACACAGTTAAATTACTTTAAAATTTGTATTTTTACAAAATATCTTTAAGAAAAATCAAACTAGTTTCCCAAAAATATATAAAAATTTACTTTATTATATAAGTTATTAAACTTTTTAAGAACCAAAAAATATAAAAACTTTAATTTAAACATTTCTTGGATGAAAGGTATGTGTTGGACTCTGCACCAAACTTTTATATCTCAGTTCCTCAAAAAAATTATTTTTTATAATTTAACATAGGTTATTTAGGATAAGTATATTTTAATTTATATAGCAAGAAATTCAGTTAGCTCATTATATCATATCACTAAATTATCTTCTAATGTTATTGTAAAATTATGTTCATTTTAATCATAATATCAGAAATACAGGACAGATTATATATGACAATTCTGTAACTATTTAGTTACATATATATCCTATCAAAGTTTTTTAATGACAGGAAAGGAAGTATAATTTTTTTCTAAATTTTATAATTAATTTGATGAGAAATCACTCTGCTTAAACTTAAATAACTAGTTTAAGATTACTCTGTAAAATGTAAAATAACCAAAAAACATAAAATGCATCTAACAAAAAAAAATTAATGTAAATATTAGGGCTTTTAAAAAGTATCCGCAATTTTTTCATAAATTATAAAATAACAATTAAAAAAATCCATACCTGCATCAATTTCCCATAAAGTTCCCCTTCAGTTCATTAAATCACTCCCACAGTTTTGGAAGCTTCTGGATACTGGAAGAAAAAAGTTTTGGTTGGAACCACATATAACAACACACATACTGCCTACATCATCTTGAAGTTTCCAATAAAATGTTATCCTTATAGATTATCCTTTATAGTCCAAAGAGATGAAAAATCAAACAGAGCAAGATCTAGATGTTTCAAGATTTGATATAGTTATTGGAGCATTATAAAAATGTAGATAGCAAATAAGGTTCACATTTTCATATAATAAGGCATGTTTGAAAATAATACTATGCAGTTTATGCTAATCATTGGCTTCAGCCTGTCAACTAAATCCAGCATTATTTAGAATCTTTTTCTAAATATAATTCTGCATTATTTAGTACAAAACTTTTCTCCACATAATTCTCCATTATTGAGTCTTCATATCAATAATGATAAATATCAATTTAGTTATGTTTTGCTCTTCTTGAGCAATCAATTTCATATTCTCAGTTTTATAATGATACATCCAAATAATCATCACCAGTGATATTTTGGAAAAAGGTTTTCATCAAGTGTAGTAAAAGCTCAAAAACTATTTGAAAATACTCACAAATCAATTCTTCTCTGTCTTATAGTACAATATCTCATTATGTACTGGTACATACTTTATAGAATTTCAAGCTGTTGTACAGTTGTATGCATAGTCATGACAAATGTGCAGCATGACTGCTACTTTCATTTATCTTATGATTATCTAGAATCATCATACAAATACATTCCTTATAATTATCTGTTATTGTTGAGTATAACTATTTCAATGCATTTTACTTTTAATAATTTTTGGAATTTTTCAATCAAAATATAAATGATACATTATGATAAAATTATGACAAAAATGAATTTTATTAATTTTTTTAGTCAGAAAAAGTCAGTGAAGTTGAACTAAAAATTTTTTAAGACATATTATTTTAAATAATTACATAGCTTTCTCTAAGAAATTAATTTAGTTTTTCAAGTGTTTGAATACAACATCTTTAAAATGCTACAGTTTAAATAATAAATTAAAAATTCTTAAAGAATGTGCAGTAAATCATCACAAACAAAAATCAGAATACAGAATGCTGTTACTTGTTGCAAATATTTATATAATGTGGATTGTGAATCATTCTCCTTGACTTTTGGTATATGCACATTCAAATTCAACAAATCATTACAAAATTATTTAATAGTATATGTAAACATTTGTGACCTAAGTCACTGCAATAGATTTATAAAATATACATTGCGGATACTTTTTGTAGTAAACTTAATATATCTGTTGGAAACATAATTTTGATTAAAAAAATATTCTGTCTTTCAGAGATATTATAAAAATAATATTTTACAATAATATTAGTTTTTCTAATTAACTGATTTAAAATATTAATATTGTAATATATATTGCAATATTAATCAGTAATTCTAAAATAAATAATTTGTTTAGCAATTTTAAAGCAGTTAAAATAGATTCTTAAATTTATTACAAATATTCATAATCAATAAATGGGTAAAAAAGGTCATTCAAGTATGATGTCACCAATTTCAAGTCCATTTTGGCTGCCTATCCAATCCTATCACATTTTTTTCACCAATTTTTAGACACTCCCATGCTGATATCACATTTAATTTGATCTACCACTCATAATATAAAAATCAAGCTTTTCTGAAAAATAAATCTACAGTATATTAATTCATTCATATTTCCTGCCAAGGTGAGGCTAATTTTAAAACTAGGCCAATAGAAAACAAAAATGAAATTCACTGATTTACCACAAAAGAGTATATACCACAAAAAATTTTTACATATCCTTCATCCCAAGTGCAGATGTCATATTTGAATGACCTGAAATGACAATGTCATAACCATTTATCAAACAGGTAACTTCAAACTTATACTAATACTAATATCAAATTCTTGTTAAGTATTAACAAGAACATACAGGCCTATGTTAGTTTTAACATATTTCATAGTATATTTATATATTATGTAAAAATCATACTAAATGAAATAAGAAAAATTTTGTGTGTGTAATATGTAGTGACTTCTTAATTTACATGTTTAAATAATGTGAATTTAAAATACTGCACAGCAAGAACATTTACAGAAAGCACTACAAGAAGCTAGCATGATAAACTGTTATTTTCTTTCTCTGCTTTTTCTTTTGCTAAAAATTATTAATTGATTTCTATTAGAAGTACATAAGTAAAAATAAACACAAAAGCAAAAAAACTTATCTTGTAAATATCACCAAGATAACCTTTTTCTTTCAGCAAATAGTAAGACAAACATTTTCAGGCAAATTCACAGCTAAACCTCAGGTCCAGTTTCATCACTACATACAATTGTGTTCTATTTTGAAAACTTAGTTAATTCTCACATCCTAGCTGTTATTCATACTGACATATGCTATTACAAAATAAAATAGTTATTCTTGTAAATTTGAATTACATTCTAAAATTTACAAGAATAATTATTTTATTTTGTAATAGTATATGTCAGTATGAATAACAGCTAGGATGTGAGAATTACTTTTACAGGCATATTATAGCATTGTTAGCAATTATTTATATTATGCACAAATTTAAATTGTGGAAGATACTTTTAGAATGTAATCCTCTATAAATTAAGAAGTCACTGTAACAACAGAAATGACATTAACCTTTTAATGCCAGATAGCATCTCCTTAGGATCTTTATGTCAGCTTTTCTAATGATTTTTTAAATTATTAAATTTGTTGTTTATGTAGATTTTAATTATGAAAGATATCAATACAAAATAATATATTACTCGAACTATAGTATTACTTAAATATTTTAATATTTAGAAAATTACATATTTTCATTTCTTATGTTTTTTTACTGAAAAATTATCATTAATTTATATTTTATCCAAATTCATTTAATTTTAAATATTTTCAATATTAAAAAAATTTAATCTTATTTCATATTATCTTTCACTTATATATAACTTTCAACAAAAATATATTTGTTTAAATACCACAAATATCTGTTAGATTATTTTGAGAAAAAATTAGAGGCTGAAGAAAATCTGAAATTAAAAAGCTCATTCATAAGTGGTATTTTAAGTTATTAAGTAATTAATAAGGTGTTCATAAAATATATCATTTAATGCAAAAATTATAATGGGGATTTTAAATACATTTTATTTGTGATATATTTTAAAACATATGCTAATATAAAATTTTAAAAAATTACAATAAAAATTTGTTAGAATTCATATGAAGGATAAAAGAACTTTTTAAATGTTGATTTTAAGTAATTGGTATCAGTGCTGTATCTGGGCAGATGCAACAGGTGCACCCGCACAGGGCCCACTTGGAAAGGGCTCAGAATGCATGTATTTGTTTTATTATTTTCCCAAACCTAATTAATTAAGGGTCCCTTGCACAGGGCACAGGAATGGCTAGTTACGGCACTGATTGGTATCAAAGAATATTAAAAATTTTAATTATTTCTCTCTCTTTTTTTTAATCTCAAATATGTATATCAATCTTGATTACAAGTTACCTTATTTCTCTCTAGTCTAGGATATCATATAAATTAATAGTATTTTTTTATTTATTTTTTTATCACAAGTAAAGTTTTAGTTTTTTTTTCATAATTTTATTTTTTTCCTTTAAATAGCTTCTTACAAAGTACTGGAATGAAAACAATTAAATCCTGTAAACCTTAAAAGTCCAATATTGACACCTTTAATAGAAAAACAAATGTTTTTGACTGTACTCCAGTCTTCTTCAGGTTTGTAAAACCAGCGAGAATCGAACATGTGAATGCAAAGAATAAAATTACAAATTATTTTTTAAAAATATGGAACAGCATGCATAGAGATTGATTTTAAACATATGGAATACTCCAGGCATGTGTAAAAAAAAAAAACAGATGTGTACGTGAGTTACCATGGCGGTGGAATGATCACAGTAACAAAAACATTGATGTAAACAAAATAGAGGGAGGGGTGTTGTGGTTATTAACTGCTGGTCTAAGTGTTGCCCGTTTCTTCATAGCAGTACTTCCATGCATGAGATACATTGATAACATCATCCAAGTTAATACAATTGGCATGTAATCCAGCTTTGTAAATTTCCAAAGCCTCAAGGTTTCAAAGGTGTTCAATCCGGTGAGATGATCTGATCAGTTTGGCATCCTGGAGGTGAACTCATACGTCAGGGTCTATGGCATAGATGGATAGGGCAGTACTGCCCTATCCATCTAGGCCATATTATTATCAATTTCATATTTGTGTTCTTGTAATCTTTTACTAAGAGAATGCTTCGAGGACCCAATGTAAACCAAACCCCTTTGAAACCTGTTGTCCCTGAGAGGAACCATGTACACACCTGGAGCATGATTTTTATTGATCTTGTCTTTTCCATTGCACAGTAGCCCATGTAGCAGTATACCATGCTTGACCTCCTGTAAGCAATGTTTGTGCTGGTACGGGTAGCAATCTCCCTGTATATGGAGTTGAAGTGCTGGATGTACTCCACAACCATGTGGAAATCTGCATTATTGAGGTTGTGTGTTCTGTTGGGCGCAACTTGCATGTTAGATGTGTCATGTGTAACTACATGTGTGGAGTAAGCACGAGAAAAGTTGTGTATCAAGTTCCTACTATACCCGTGCTGTATGGCTATGTTTTCAATGCGTTTTAACTCTGCCATGGTGTCCTCCCATCTGGTGTGGTGTGTGAATGCCCTTCTTGTTAGGGCATGGAAGGCAGCGATTTTATAAGAGAGAGTCAGCAGTGTCTGCTGGGATAAACAATGGCATATAGCATGAATGGCTTGTAATGGGTGCTCATTTCTATCTGAGCACCATTGAGACGAATGTTTATATCCAGAAAGTGAGCAGATGTTTTACTCTTCTGATCCAGCTTGATGGTGAGGCCATAAGGATTGTAATTCATGGAACACGTGAACTGGTTTATGTCTGGTTCCACTTTCCATATGATGAAGAAGTCATCAACATACCTCTTGTATACCAGAATATTTGAACTGAACAGC